TTCAGTCGAAAAGAGAAATATTCATCCTAAAGCATTTTAGGGATTAGTTTCTCTTCGATTGGAAATATTGAAATATTTTATATTTTTTTCCTTAGAATTTTCTATAAAAATAAAATTATGCGATTGAATCTGAAATAATAGAATCGTAAATAAGATTTATATTTGAATTCTTAAATTTATATTATCATAGACAATTTATAATCAACGTGTACCAATTTTGGGCGTTGTGGGGGTGTTAATCATTCCCAAAACGTAACCGACCACGAATCCCTTTTTACTAAAAAGAATGAATTTTTGGTTATAAGCAGACTGGTTTATCTTTTAAATGATGTTTTATTCAAAACTCTTTTAAAAGATGATTTTTAGATTTTCGACTTGCCTAACCCAAAAGATCGATGGCGACTCCAAAGCATTTCCTTAAAAAAACCATTTATTTATTCACCTTACTTTTCCGCTAAGAAACAATTTGTGCCCATACGAAAACCGGTTACGACAAATACCATACACTACATGTAAAGCTAAGACAACTTTACCAAGGTAAAGTCATGGCAAAGATATCTCGACACTGAAACAGAGGCATCTCGACCTGTTAGGTGGATCTGTTGTCGTAAGTTGGGATAAAGGAAACTCAACACGCTTAGAGGCATCTCACAATTCTTTGGTACAGAGGCATCTCACAGTTTTGTAGGTACAGAGGCATCTCACAGTTTTATAGGTACAGAAGCAACTCAACATTTCTATAGTTAGCAAGAGGATGCTTCTTCATGTTTAAAGGCATCTTATCTCTTTCTATATGTTAGAGAAAAAGAAAATTAGCACTCTTTTAACCGTAGGGTAAGGGCATCTAGCACTCTTTTAACCGTAGAGTAAGGCATCTTCATTATGGAAGCACAGTGGAGGCATCTCATCGCCAAGACAGCATGACGGAGGATAATAAAAACGTTTGTAAGGACTCAATGCTGAAGCGGAGGTATCCAAATTTTAATTTCTACATGTACTAGTCTTTAAATATTACATGTTATTCCTATATGAGGTTATTCTAAGTACCTGAGTTAGTAGTTGCTTAGCAGTCTCTCGTGAGGGGTGTTCCTTCTAGAAATATGTTAGTAAATAATATGGTGTTTACCTGCCTATAAGGTGGTGCAAATGGCCATTGTAGAAGCTTTCCATATTTTTCCATGTTGCCCTTATTGACGTTGTCATTTGAGGTATGACATTTGTGCTTCTAAGGACCTTTCCTCATACACCATGTTGGGCCTCTTATGCAACAAGTAGAGGCTTATCTTGCATATGACGGTGACGATACTTGATGGAGGTGTTGGCCATCATTTTTGCCCGTATGTTTGGGTCTTAGGCTGCAGCTACGTTGGGCTCAAACTAGGAAGGCTTGGGCGTGTTAAGTAAAAGCAAGGTGAAGAACGACTTTGATTACACACCCCCAACACTTGAGAAAGACGATCATAGGTAGGAGGACTTGCGGTATCGCTCGCACTATCCCCCTTTTTACCTCCCTTCTCACCATCGTATGTAGATATGGACTGCTTTAATGGTCTAGTTAGAGGTGAGGATGGCTATTTTAGTTTTGGGAGAAGGTGAGGATAGTTGTTTTGATATTTGGGTCAGATCTCAATTGATTACCTCATTTATGAGGTTTGTCCATGCTCACTTGTACTAATTGTTGATGAGAATAGATTTGTCACCCCCCTTCTGATTTGGACAAATATTTGTGGCCTATGAATAGACAATTGTTGATCGGTGTTTCTCTATAAGAGAGATCCGGTCATAAGGGAGAAGATGAACGTTGTGTAAAGATTATGGAGACCATAATCATCATCTTGATTTAGCTATCGGGAATTTATAACACTTCTAGCTTGTGGTGCCAGATATATAGTCATTATAGCTATTTCTGGATCAACATACTAAATAAATTTGATCATCATATCTTGGATTTTGTTCTAATAAGCAATGTTATTAAAACCGGACCGGTTGGTTCGACCGGTTGAACCGTGAATCGGTGGCATGTCCGGTCCGGTTAACTTCCAAAACCGGCTGTGCACAGAACCAGTAAAGAACCGGTAGAACTGGCTGAGAACCGGCAAAACCGGGGTGAACCGGCTGAAATCCGGTGTGAACCGTCGGTTCTCTTTTTTTCTTTAAAAAATTAAACCAAACGTCGTCATTTCTTAAACGAGCCGAGTCGAACTCGAGTACTGCTGAGCTCAACTCAAACTCGAAAACTTTAAAAGTAAGCTCAACTCGACTTAAAAACTCACAAGCTAAAAATTATCAAGTTCAACTCGAACTTGAAATATAATATTGAAACTTGAACGCGAAAAGGGTTGAACTCAAAAAAAAATTAAAAGCTCGATTGAAGCCTAAAATTCGAGCTCAATTGAAGCAAAAGAATAATTCGCTCTGTGCTCACCAAAAGTCTCCATAATTTTGAATGTCAAATTATCTCTAGTATTTATAGAAGTCAATTGGGATGCTCTTCTATGTTTCTTAGCCATGTGGGATTGTTTTGTTATCATATTTTTACTCTTTAGACTTTTGGGATGTTCTTCTATGTTTCTTAGCCATGTGGGATTGTTTTTTTTAAATAAACCAAACGACGTCGTTTGTTATGATTTTTTTCAGCCTCAAATTTATTTTTTGATTATAGTTATATAATTATATTTATTATTTAATATGTTTTACGTTAAATATTATGTTGTAGTTGATTTGAATCATTTTGTTTCACTTGATTTTATGTTTTTTTAACTTATATATGTTATGACTTGTGATATTTTTATACCTTTTAATATTGTAAACTTAAAAAATGTTTTATATATATTAATATTGCTTTGAATATTATGTAAAATTTAAAAAATATATATTATTTTATATAAAATCCGGTTGAACTCGGTTGAACCAGTCAACTAGTACCTTCACCGGTTCAAGGTCCGGTCTGATTTTAAAAACATTGCTAATAAGTCACATGAGCTTATCAGAGATGTTATGAGTCTATCAGAGGTGTTGTCTATGCTTTATAGCTAATTCAGAAATCATCGTACTCCTACAACAAAAGGTTATGGGTTTCTTAAAAGCTCTGGTAAGTAAATGAATATATTTAAAGATCTTAACGGACAAAGAATTGATAATTTTTTAGAGATTATTCTATGAAAACACAAATACTTTAAACAATTAAATAAAAAAATATAATATACTTCAAATTTTAATTTTTAAATTAAACCTTTTAACAAATGGTCTTTGGAACATGTAGACCAAAATTGTTGGTATACTTTGAGACTAGTTGAGTGGTCCCCAGCATTGATCAACAATGTGGCATCCATCCAGCTAAGTTTCCCTGGAAATTCTCACATATTCCCAACATTTAATTAACTCAATTCGGTTATTTTATGGCTAAGATGAATTGATCCGACTCATTTCAATAATTTATTTTGTAAAAAATAAAGGGCAAGGGACCCTTTAATATAAAAGGACAACCCATATTTTTCTCCGCATTCATAAAGTGCCATTGTGAAAGCAAAGAGAAAGTTGCTATGAAAAACCTAATGCATGGTTGTGATAGTCCCAAGTTTGGGATCATATGTCCCAAAGATTACGCCTCATAAAAATGAGGTGGCCACGTTGGCTTGTGTCAGAACTCCTTTAGGATCATAGTTTTATTATCCTTTCGGCTGCAAACTCAACTGGTCCGAGCCACCATGAATTCTTAATTTATTAGGAACTGTTTGACCTGTTTAGGGCAATTACTCTTGCTCAGACTAAAACATATAAATAATTAAGTATTATTTTATAATTTTTAATAATTGGTAACTTAATAAATAATATTCTATAATTAGGGAATCACTTTATAACTTTTAATAGTCAATAACTCAAGAAAATAATGTTTATAGTTCGGGACTATTTATGTATTTTACCCTAAATTATAATACAAAACTCACTCTATATTCACTCGAAGTTGGAAACAAGTAAATGTTGAAGTTAGGGCTATAAACGAGCCGAGTTGAGTTCAAGTATTATTGAGTTCGATTTGACTCGACTCGAAAACTTTAAAATGGAACTCGTCAAAAGCTCACGAGCCTAAAATTTTCAAACTTTACTCGCACTCAAAACCATGAATTGAAGGTCGAAAAAGCTTGAAATCAAAAAGAAAATCTTAAACTTAACTCGGTTGAAACTCAAACTCGAATCTGAACCTCAAATATAAAAAATCTTATACTTTAATTTTTTTAAAAAAATCAACGCATAAATATTAATATTATTAATAAGTCAATATTTTTAAAAAGATAAAATTTTAATATATTTTTTTCGAGTTGCTCTTGAACTTTTTAAGTTGAATATTAAATAGTTCGAAAAAGCTTGAAATCAAAAAGAAAATATTAATCTTGGTTGAAACTCAACTCGAACATAAACCTTAAGGGGGCGTTTGGTTCCCGGATTTTTGCATTCCTGGAGGTATTATTTTTTCCAAGTTAAGATTCCCACGTTTGGATAGGTTGACATTCCCAAGTAAGGGTAAAGGATCAATACCAACAGTATTTTTTGAGTCTGTATTACTGGGAATATTATCCCCACATCTCATCTAGGTATTTCTTCATTCCCGTGTTTAATGGGTTAAAATACCCTTCCTTATCTTCTTCTCCCCGTGAACTTGCCTATGTGAATGAATAAAAATTCGTGGTTTTCCCAATATAATTATCTTGATAAGATTTCTTCTCCACTCCCTTTTTTTTATTTTCCCAGTAAGGTTACTTGGTTTCTATTTTCTCCTTGACCTTGCTTATGTCCATTTACTCCCATTAAAATTTCCTTTCTTTTATCTTATTCTCCCCGACATTGTTTCTGTTCAGGAATTTATGTGATTTGTTTTTAGTTATCACATTGGTGGTCGTGTTCGGTTTATATTCTTTTTTCCATTTTTTTGCAACTCATCTAATAGTCGAAGTAGGTAGTTGAATTTTGAAATTTTAAAGGACAATTTTTTCATTCTGATTGGTTGTTGTAAATCAAGAGGAATACTCATGTGTTCACTTTTGTATGTGTCTGATACCTCTATTTCTGGGTTCTTTTTTTCATTGAGTCATATTTGTATGGGGGCTTTAATTTAGCTGAATGATTTCTTATTCAAAACCAGCATATAGGTTTTAGTTTTTCATGAAGAAAATAAAATTATTTTAGTGAAACATAATATCTGAAATTTTGAGTAAATGTGTCTATATGAATTTAAGATTGTTTGAGCTGTTTAATTTTTATTGTCACAATTTTTCTGGTTGCTGATTGAGGGATTGGAAGACGGACCACACTTTTTTTTGGCTATGTTGGTTTAGGGACTTTGGCTTTAGGGTTTAGATGGTTGTAGTTAGCTCACGGTTCTGATTAGAGACAGGAGAAAATCATTGAAGTTTAGGTTGTAATTAGGTCACTTGAACAGAAAGTTAACAACTATGGGTGAATCTTATCTAGTTTATTGAATGTAGAATGTTCTCAGATGTTGCAATAATGAGATTTTCTTCTTTCTTTTTCCTTCTGGTTATTCTTCTAAGAAAATGATATGTATGGGTTTATTGACTTTAGTTTTTGTTTTTGGTAATCCAGAGCCATGCCAACGTTTTCTGCTATAGCTTTGGATAGGTTGTTATAACCTGGAACTTCAGAATCTATTGACAAGTCTAGTCCTAATATGAAACCATCTTTGCCCAAGCCAAAGCTTATAACCAATTCGAAGCTAGAGTAGGAAGAGTGCATCAGTAACTGAAAGGAAGGTTAATCATCCCCAAATATCATCACCTGCCCTCTATGCCACTCCTGAGACAACTCCACTACCCGATTCACCATCTTCGTTCCCTCCATCACCTTACATTATTAATCACAAATGCCGCAGACCTCGCCTTTTGAAGAGCTTTTCTGAAAACAACATATCAATTCGGAAGAAAACCACTAAAGAAAGTGAGGTTAATGGAAAGATAGAGCTTATAGAAACCAAGTCCGTTGATCTATCTAAGGATGTTTCTATTAGTTTTAGAATTCATAAACCTGATGAAGAGGAGCATGAGAATGGTGTCAATAATGGTCCTATTAAAGTAGAGCAAGCAAATGGTTTCCATGCTAGCTCCATTCAAGATGAGCACATGAATGGTATCCATGATGGTGAATTTGGGAGCAGTAATATAGCAGTTGAAAGCAGGCGAATGAATAATGGTATGGCCAGTGATATTGCTTCGCCAAAGCTTGTTTCATTGAACTTGAACAGAGGTGATGAAAGTGAAGATTTCTTTGATCCAAAGGATTTCATGAGCGCCACAACTAATACCGATGGAGATGATGAAAGTACTGCAAGGCTTGGTACCTCAGGGGTTGAGTTTTTTTATGCGTGGGATGGTATGTAGAGTTTTATTTTCTTCTAAATACGATCAAGGATAACTGCATATGTTTAAATGTAGGGTTGCTGAAAAACAAATTTCTTGCATGTTGCTAATTTTTTCATTTAAAACCTGGTGTATCTACTTCGTCTGTGATATTATGATATGTGCTAGCCTTTGTTCAAATGTCTTGATTACATTATGACTTAACAATGAAAAGGCCATGTATAAAAGTCATATTATAGTATTTTCTATGTTCATGTGTGCATATGTGTGTCCAGTATGTCTGGATGGAATACGACATTTTTGTTGAAATATTGGGAGCTATGAAAATTTTCCCATAGATACAGCTTAATTTGGAATAGGGATGATTTTGTGGTTGTTTTATCAAGTTTACTTCGATTTCTTGTTTCCTTCAGAATTATCCTCTGAGAGTGGTACACATCCTAGCTATCGTGATACTGAAGCTGAAGTGCGAGAAATAAGATTGAGCTTACTCATGGAAATAGAAAAGAGGAAGCAGGCAGAAGAGGCTCTAAGCAAGCTGCGATGTGTGTGGAAAAGAATGAGCCAAGTGTTGGCTATTGTGGGATTGTTACTGCCTGTAGATCCTATTGATGTGACAGATGATGATCTGGTGAAACAAGCTCAAGAGATGAGGCAACAAGCAGATATTGCACGATTTTTATCATTATGTGTTGGAAGGGGTATTGCAAGGGCAGAGTTGGAGACGGAAATGGAATCTCAAATTGAGTCAAAGAACTTCGAAATTGCGCGATTATGGGTTATTATAAATTTAGTTTATGTAATTCTCATTTTGTGAACTTGTTTGGTGTTTATCTCCATAGGTTATTATAAATTAGTCTTATCATGTTGGTTGTTTAGGCTATTAACGTATCCTATTTTCTTTGTGGTTATGAACCAAGTGGCGATCGTTAGTTTAAGCTCATTCTAGTAGTATCCATTGACCGAACTGTTATATGGGTTTAAAAGAGTATGAGGCTGTATGGTTGGGTGCAGATTGTAGATTGGAAAAATTAAGTGTTTGATTGAACAATTGGATCCTCCTTGACTTTGCATTACTCGACTAAATCAAGTGTCTAAACCCCAAGGCTTTTGATTGATAATGTTAAATCATTTTTTATTGATAATGTTAAATCTATTAAAATTTTTATATGTTTATTTAGTTAAATGTTGATGTAAAATTTTAATTTATTTTTAGATAAATAATGTAAAAATTAATATTACTTATAATTAAAATAATACATGATATATTTACCCTTTTATTCTACCTATTTATAATTTAAATTTTATAAAACATTATATATAAATTTTATTATAAAGTATATAAATTTAAAAAAAATAAAGCAATATATTTTCGATGATTTTTTATATAAATATTTCCGTTTAAATACTTAGAATTCCACTTGTTAAAACATATAGAACAAGGATAATTTGGTAAAATATATGTTCCAGCAATCTCTTATTCCTTCAACCAAACAATGCAATCTTACATTCTTGCCAAACAAACCAAACATAGTAATGTAACATTCCCAGTCATGTATCAGGTAATGTTACATTCCAGTAATGTTATTCCCAAATGTAATCGTACATTCCGTGAACCAAACGCACCCTAAGGGTACACTTTAGATTTTTAATTAATTTAATTTTATTATAATCTTATATGGCATTAAAATATTAATAAATTATGCCACATCATATAATATTTTTAAAATAATCCATGTCATCATAGAATGAGCAAACCAAAATTTGAGTGATTAAATTGAAAAAGTTAAAAGTACAGTGAGTAAAATAGGAGAGAGAGTAAAGTTGTGTGATGAATGGTATAATTTACCCTTTGTATATTGAATAGGTTTCAAATGTGTCTTCATGGGTTTTGTCAAGCATAGGAAGACGCTTGGACTCTAATGCGTCTTCCGTAAGTAACTTGGATCGCAGCGCGACTTCGGGATACACTGTAATATTCGTCCTATTTCACGAAATAATCTCTCAGGTGCATTATTCAAGCAATTATTTTTTTCAACTGCATTATTGTAAAAATTCATCTCATTTCTACTAACACATAAGTTACAAGAGTTAACGAATGAGTGAAAAATGTAATAAATTGGCAACATATGTCATCAAAACATAACTTCTTTTAAATTCATGACAAAAAATGAATAAAAGTGAAATGAATAAAGTTTTTGTTTTTGAATTTTTTTACTGCTGACCAACTGAAGTTTTGATTAAGAATTTTAATTATAAATTATTAATGTATCGTGTGGATGTATAAATTTATTTATAACAAAGTATATTTTTTTACGTGTTTAGATATTTTATTTATTTATTTTTATTTTATAAAATTGTTCTTTCTATTATAATTTTTCATGTTTAGAGATAATCATAATTTTATTTAAAAATAATCATAATAAAATTTAAAAGTTTCAAAAAATACTTTTAATCCAAATTAAAAAAAATTAATCTAAAAAAGTTAAATATTTTTAATCGCATTTTGGTTGACTGAGCAGCGAGCATCCAAAAATGAAAGGTTTAAAAGAATTTGTGACGCATAATGCCAAAATTAGGTCTCAATATTTATCAAAATGGTTATTTTGTCTCTTGTTTTAATTTTTTAGTATTTTGACCTCTAATGTTTCATTTTCGGGTAAAAAGAAGTCGTAACATTTGACAGAATAATCATTTTGTCTCTTATTCTTTTTTGGGGCATTTTAGCCCTTAACGTTTGATTTTAGGTTAAAAGCTCCTATTTTGGAGCGTTAATTGTGAGTTAACTAATAGTTTTCATCTATATAGAGAGCTTTTTACCCCCAAAGTAAAACATTGGGGGCCAAAATCCTCCAAAAAAAAGAAGAACAAAGACCAAAATGATTATTTTAGTAAATATTTGGGACTCTTTTCAGAATTATGCCAATTTGTAGAGTCACAAGTGGATTGAGTGACGTGGTGGAGGAGCGCATACGTGAAAAAGACGCAAACTAAACGTCCTGCTTTTCCCTATTTTTTTATTTAACTAACTGATGCTTAATATGTTTTTCATATAAAAAATAAGTTACTAATAATTTAGTTTTAAAAATAACGTTACTAATACTAATAATTTAACTTTAAAAATAACGTTACTAATAATTATTAACATGTGTAATCAGATTTGATCAAAATAATAATATTCTTTTTATTTCGGTAAAAATATTACGGTTAGATTGGAGGGGTGATCGTTGCTTCTCGTTTGCTTTTTTGGGTGTTCTTCTTCGCAAATTTGCTCTTTTTCTTACGGTTAGATTGGCGACTGTGCAAGATCTTCAAGAAAGTAATGAAGACACTATACAAGTGTTAGCTGGAGGTGATGCTATTCACTCTCATGTCCCTGATGAGTGCGCTTCTGTTGACTATGATGGTAAGATTTTAAAGCAGCCTAAAGCCAATGGTGGATATGATCAGGCAAATGTTACAGAAGGTAAAAATATTCCTATAGAATCCTTGGGTAATGCTGGATGTGATGGGGAGTTCCCTTCATTGCAAGATTCTCTGCTCCAGAAGAAGAAATCAAGGGGAAAGAGAATGGAAAATGCTGGATCTTCTAGTAAATTTGAGCTACTTGGTAGGGGTGCTGTTGAGGGTAATAGGAAGACTAGAATTACCTCCTTAGGGTTAGTTATGCTTCTTAATGAGATTAAAGCAAAAAAGAAAGATCATTTGGAGAGAGTCAAAGGTGCAGGTATTTGTTATGCTACAAAGGGTGTTGATCCTCCTATCTCTAACTGATGATTTTTAGTTTTTAGAATGTTAGAGGGCTAAATAGTGGGCCCAAGCAAAGTAAGGTATTTAGAAGATTGGAGGTTTTAGGTGTGGATGTGATTTGCTTAATGGAAACTAGAGTTAGAAGTGTTAATTTCCCTAGGATTGGTAATACATTGGCTGCTGATTGGAGTATAGCTAACAATTATGAATATTCTGATGGTGGTAGGCTTTGGATACTGTGAAAAAAAAGCCTTTCCTTCTCTGTGCTAAAGGGAAGTGACCAAGCCCTCTCAATTGTAGGAGATGTGGTTGGTAAAAGAGTTGTTCTTACTGTTGTTTATGGCAGTAACAATAGTCAGACCAAAAGAGGTTTATGGGAGCATTTAAGAAATCTGAAAACTGATATTGGTTCTGCCTCTTGGTTGATTGGGGGTGATTTCAACACTTTTGTCAGTGCTGAAGAGAGTTTTGATTTCGAGATTCTGGGATTGCACAACACCTCTGATATGGTGGAATTCAAAGATTGCTTGGTGAATTTAGGGATACAGAACCATCCATTCACAGGTCCACTCTTTACTTGGTCCAACAAGTAAGAAAGTAACTTCTTGGCTAGGAAATTGGATAGAGTTTTAATTAACTCTCAATGGTTGTTAGAGTTTCCTGACTCAGCTGTGGAATTTAAAGCTCAAGGGCCTTCTTACCATTGTCTTGGGACTGTTTGGACTCAGAAAAGTGCTCAGGTGAACAAACCTAAGCCATTCAAGTTCTTTAATTGTTGGACTGGTAATGAGGATTTCTTGAGGGGTTTTAAAGATTCTTGGAGAGAACACTGTGTGGGGGACTGTTGAAAACATTTTGATATTTTGATATAACAAATTAAGTTAAATGAATTTTAAGATTTTCCAAATGATTTTCTAAGTATATTCGATAGAATTATTCGAATATCAAAACATTACTCCAAATCTTTCAAAGATCATTTTTAATCCTTACTCAAAGTGTAAAATTAAGTTTTAATCTTAAAACAATTCAAAATAATTTTACAAAGTATTTCGAACCATTTCAAAGCAAAAAATTCTAGATTGCTCAGAGGGAACCAATTCCCCCCCCAAGGGGGTACCGATTCCCCCTGAATGGTTTGGCTCTGAGAATTGCAGTATGCTCGGAGGGAATCGATTCCCCCCCAGGGGGTACTGATTCCCCCCTTGTATAACGGTCGAAATATTTGAATTTTACACTTAGGGAACCGATTCCCCATAGGGGGTACCGATTCCCCCCACGCTCCAAATTGTTTTATTAATTGTTTTCACAGTAAAACGGCTATATTATTTTCTCTAATCATCCCCAACGTTCAGAAGTGATTCAAGGTGTATTTAAACAAGTTCTGAAGCCCTTGATCAACAAGAAATTATAGAGAAACAAGAGAGAAAGCATCAAACACCAAGTTTGTGCAAATCAAGCCAATTTTCCTTTCAATATTCATTTTGCTTTCAAAGAACACCATTTGTGCTCATTTGTAATTATTTGTGAGTGTTCTTTTCTTGTTCTAGAATTGTGCAAACATCTTACCTTGTGAGGTTTTCCTTGTAAGTTTGTAAATTTGTGTATTTCTCTTTGAAAAAGAGTGTGCTCGAGAATTTGGGGTATAATTCTTGAGGGAGCTTTAAGGTTACTCTTTGTCCTCAAAAGAAAGAACAAATTAGTGAATTTATTGGAAAATCCTTAGTGTGGATAGCTAAGTTAGTGGACGTAGACTTTGGTTGATAAAGTCGAACCACTCTAAATTGTTGTGCAATTATTTTCAATTTTCTGCAAAAGCTTCCACCAAAATTTTAATTGCCAATTCACCCCCCTCTTGGCCATATTCGTCAATCAATTAACTCAACAATTGGCATCAGAGCCTAACTCATTTGAAGGTTTAATCACCTCTTGAGTTGATCCGGGAAGAGTTAAATCGATAAAGATGGCGTCCACTTCCGGTTCATTCTCCATGGAAGAATCCAGACCAATTGACGTGCCTCCACACTTCAATGGAACAAATTATCGTCATTGGAAGAGGTGTATGATGATATTCATCAAAGCATTTGATATGGAAGCTTGGATGATAATAAAGAAAGGATATTCCTCTCCTACTAAGAAGGCAAAGAAGTGGAGTATTCAAGAACGGAATGAAGCTCAACAAAACTCAAAGGCTATGCACATGTTGTGTTGTGCAATTGATCCTAATGTATATAAAGGAGTTTCTTCTTGTTCAA